GACATTTGTAAAGTTCATCACTGTATGTATTGTACTGCATGAATATTTTTTGTAACTGCACATCTACTTTTTGTAGAACTGCAAGAGACCGTTATAGTGGGCATGGTCCTTCAAGATAATTTAATACGACTCAGAGAAATCCAGGAACGAGTGATACAAGACAACACACACTTCCAGGGAATCGACAGTGTGAGCATTTCCACAATTGACCGTGTCCTCCATCGTAACAGGATACGAATGAAACAAGTATACAGAGTACCTTTTGAGCGCAACTCACCAAGGGTGTAAGAACTGCGAGCTCAGTATGTGCAAGTAAGTGTACATTCAGACACATTTACTGTAATCCAGATTGTCTACAGTACTGCCACATACTATGTGAATGACATTACTCTTCAGTACATACAGTACAATGTATGTGAATCAGAAGTGCATACAGTAGGCCTAATTGAACTCTACAATATAGCACTGTCTCTGTACAACTTACTAAATTCTACATACATTATATTGTATTCCTACACAGACAATATTTGACTTGGAATCCTTGGACAGACACCATGAGTTAATCTTTGTCGATGAAGCAGGCTTCAATCTAACAAAGAGGTGGTTAGGCCGAAACGTGATTGGACAGCGGGCCATTGTTGAAGTCCCTGGTCAACAAGGTGGCAATGTCACAATCTGTGCTGCTATCAGCAACCATGGTGTTCTACATCACCATGTTACACTCGGGCCATATAACACCCAGCATCTTCTAAGATTTCTGGCCAAACTAAGAGATATTTTATTTGAGCAGCTAAATGAGAATCCCATTCCCACCAATGTGATAGTGCTGGACAATGTCAGTTTCCACCGAGCTGCTCAGGTAAGGGAATGGTTTAACATCAATGGTCAGTTTATGACCTTGTACCTCCCTCCATACTCGCCTTTCCTGAATGCGATTGAGGAGTTTTTCTCCTCATGGAGATGGAAAGTGTATGATAGACAACCCTACACCAGAGTAAATCTGCTGCAAGCCATGGCATTAGCCTGTGGTGATATAGGTGAGGAATCATGTCAGGGCTGGATACGGCACACAAGAGGCTTCTTACCCCGTTGCCTCAGTGCTCTGGCCTGACCCAGCCCAAAGACAAGAAGAAGCACATTGATGACATGTTGACTCCTTTGATTTTTGTCCCTTTTACTGTAGTATTGTATACTGTAGTAGGCCTACAGTGCATTGTAGTCTGTATAATGTACAATAAACAAATTGTATGGCCTTGAACATCGTGCTTTCTATTTCTTACAGTAACAGTACTGACTGCTCAACAGATTTTGACTGGTTGCAGGTTCATAACAACAAAGAACAAGAATTACAGTATCACAGAGACAAAGGACATGTTTGTGAGATGCAGGGTACAGTACTGTCAAAATAGGGGTACAAGGAGGAGGAAGAACAAAAGAAATTGCAAAGAGCAAAGCACAGTAGTAATTTCTGATCAATTTTGAGCTACTGTAATAGAACATGTTTTCGTTCATATGAAATTTGTTTTGAGATTAAAAATCTACTTCTCCCTGAGAACTATATGTTTTGAACAATGTGTTTTCTATTTATTGGTGTATTGTTTACTGACTGCTTGATAGTGTATATTATTTTGATCACTTTGTTTATGATTTGAGAGCAGTGTTTGATTTTGAGCACAGGTAAAACTGTTTTGAGGCGAAAGTTTCATTTTGCAAGAGGATTCAGAGGTTTTGTAAATAGTGCTTGAAGATGAGGTTTTGTGTTTACAGTTTTGAAAATGGGTGACCGTTTCAAGAAATGTGTCTCAGCAATCGAGAAAAACTGTAATAATTAGCCAATGTTAGCATGAAGCAGTTCTATCTCCCAGCAAATACATCTTGAGACAAGGACTGACTGGCCCATAGAACAACTAAATCTCTGCCAAGTTGACTGATTAACTTGGCCATTTTTTTTTTCCATTGCTTTGCAGCTGCTCTGCCCTGCAGTGAAAAAGACTAGTTGTCCGTGACGCCCGAAGTGCCAAAATATATAACTGCGCCAATTCCGTGGCTACCCACCGGTGGAAGAATGGAGGTTAGTGAGAGCGGAGAGGAATGAAAGATAAGCAGCAGCAGCAGGAGAGAGCACTGTAGGGGAAATGGAAGAGGAGGTGATGCGCAGAAGAAAGGAGGAGGAGGAGGAGGAGGAGGACGGGAGATGAGATGAAGTGAGATTGGACCGATAAGGTGGGGAAATGAATAAAGAGACGGGAGGTGAGATGGAGCTAACAAAGAGATGGAGTGACAGAGCGAAGGAGAAGAAGAAATGGATGAGATAACGCAGCAGCCTTCGAAGCTTGTGTAAATAATTGTTTTGCCTTGACACGCAGATGTTTTTGAGACGTTGTGAATCATAAAAAGCTTTTAAGATGTGAATTTTAAAATGTCCATTCACTGGGAGCTGTGTGTTCTCAAGAGTCCATTTGTCATTATTAGCATTTTTAGCCGGGCTACTTCAGGCAGCTTCAGCTGAAAAGCAATTCTTTCAAAATCATGCGTTCTCCCTCTCGGGAATATTACAACAAACTCTGACTGCACTTCAACTCTCAGGGTAATGGCTTCTACCTCCATTGACTTGCATTGAATCGCCAAAGATTGAATCTCCTGAAGAACTAGACGTTGAATGGACGTCAACGACTTCTAGTTCATGAAGTTCATAAATTAGTCACCGGGAGTGTCTTTAAAGATTAAAAAATATCCCTTTAAGACCGACTAGCAGATGTATCCACTCTAGATTTAAGTGCTCGAATGTTTGGCAAGCTGGCTATAGCTTGGAGCAAAAATCACACACACACACACACACACACACTAAGACCCTGCTGGGCAGAGGGAAGCTGAAGACGATGATGTCATGACAAAAACAATAGCTCATTCAGTTTGGCACTGGTGGTCAGGAAGCAAGACCATGCTTAAAGGACAACATCTGCACAGAGAGAGAGAGAGAGAGAGAGAGAGAGAGAGAGAGAGAGAGGAGTAAGAGAAGGAGAGCCGACATCTTAAATCCTCAGTTCATCCTTTAACTCATACTGAGCTGCGAACACACTGGGAGAGCAGTTAGCTGAGCTGATCATGTCGGAGGTCTGAGTGCGTCTATTTGACATTCCGTTAGGTTTGTAGATGAATCTGTGCAGGAGAGAGCAGAGCTGGAGAACAAGCCACAGGGATTGTGTACAAGTCAGCCTGCCAGATCTATAGTTCAGGTTACATGGCTTTTCCCATATGGTTCCTGTTAGCACCTCCCCCCCCCTTCAGTGGCTCTGCCCCGTCTTCCTCAACCCTCTTTAGTGCTATTAAGGTAATTAAATGTAAGAGAGTACCGTCAGCTGTTGCTGTATCCCCCACAATTCCTCGGGGGTCTATGCAAATGATGGACAGAGTGGATGAGTTAAAAAATATCAGCATTGTCATAAATATCAGCTGGCTGTCTGAAGACAAGGATGCTCCCGCTGCTCAGCTCATCAAAGGGATTCCTTACACTGACAGATACTGTGTATGTTATTTCCATGTTGCAGTAAAAAAATGTCAAGTGTTAATCTCCCGTATAAGAGCAGGCACACCAGGCCGACACATTCTGTTTGCACTCCAAGAAGGTCTTTTTGTCGCGCATAAACCTTGTGTAATTTGGCAGCACGGAGGTTATCGCTCCCTGCTGTGCAAGTATACGCGTCAGGCAGAACGGTTGAGGAAAGCAAACACCCCAAAACCGAGACGTGCACGTCTGCGTGATGAACTTGCCGCCTGGGTTTTGCCGCGCTCTCATCTGCTACAAACAGAGGAAGGCGCTGTGTCATTTCAAATGCAGCAATTCTGCTTAAACAGTCCCACTGACTGAATTTTTCTCAGTATTGCATTTCTGTGCGCTTGTTGCTGTTTCAGCCTGTTGTGCAAATGTAAGGTTCACGCTGAAGCGCACAAAGTCATCCAAACGTGCACAGTAACAGATTCCTTTCTCTCTACGTCTCCACAGATGTGGAGGCTCTTAGGTTGAGAACATTTTATGTTGGTGGGTAAGGATTTGGCTGCCAACGGAGTTTACATGTACGGACACATGACTTCCTTTTGAAGCACCACAGCACCACGCTCACCCCCAACCAACCCCCCCCCCCCCCCTCACAGCCGGGTCTCACCAGGCTCACGCCACCTGCTGGTTAAGCCAAGGTCACAGCATAGTGCACAGATTACACTTCAAGGCAACAGTAACGACATACACACAAAGCCTCCACTGCCCGGCTAGAGAACAACACACACTGGAATCTGTCATCAATAATCCAAACATCCATTCGACTGTGTTAAACATCCAATATGTAAAATAACCGACATGCTATTATAGTTCAAAGACATGCTCATTCTACGTCTACAGCTGTGTGTACCTCGTGTTTCTTCTACATGGACAGTTTGATTATGGTGGAACAGTTATTACATGTCAAGGTTTCACTTGTCAGTTTAAATTAGTTATATTATTGCTTTTACTCTTAACTCTTATGTATAAGATTGGAAACATTCAGACTTTGGTGACTGCTAGTGCTAATATACTAAAACACTATTATCATTACACATTATCAAATCCCTCAATATCGATATATTGAGACGATATTGTCAGGTTGATAGTTGGTGCTTTTACAAAGTATTTACAATATGAGATTTGTGATGAACAATCATCAGGAATGTGGATATAATGACTAAGTGAACGCTGGGAAATCATAGAACAGCTGGAACAGTGTGGTAGGCTACATCACTTTATTGTAATGCAGCTTTTAAAACCAGGAAAAGACAATACTTATGCCGCTATACGATATCCAAAATCTAAGACGATATGTAGTGTGGTATCACAATATTGATAAAATATTGATATATTGCCCAGCTCATAAGCAGTATTGTCTAATTCCTCTTCAAACAAAACACATTCCCTCAAAATAAATTTGAGGGGGCTGTAAATACATAAATAACTAAAGAGGCCTTCTTACCTGACAGAGCTGATCATGGCTCCACAACCCTCTATGGCTCCATGGTATCCATTAGGGACGACCCAGCGTCCGGGTTGGCTCAGCACAAACTCTGACCTGCTTCCTGGTATGGTGGTCCTCAGCGGGCTTCCTCCCACTCCGGCCACAGCTCCGGCTCCACGGAGAGCGCTCTCCCCAGCCGAGAGGTCACTCGGGAAGTCCGGTCCGGCCTCGGCCCCTTCCAGCTCCTGAACGGTTTCCAGCTCCAGCTCCAGGGGTTCAGGAGCCTGTAGCAGCGCCCTCTGCTGGATGAGCGGCGTCAGTGGCGCCTCGAAGCTGACGCAGCTGTCCGTCTCGTCAGTGAGCGACAGCACGTCCAGAGAGTCCAGGCTGCTGTAGCAGGTCCCGCCCCTCAGCAGGGCCGACTCTACGATGCGCTCGAACGTGGAGCTGAAGCCGTCTTTGTTGTCCACGCTTCTCTTCTCCCTCTCCTCCTCCAGCTCCCTCTCCTCCTCCTCATCCTCCTCCTCCTCCTGGACCTCCACCTGCTCAACGATCTGCTCAAACGTGGAGCTGAAACTGTCCTGGTTCTCTCTCCCGTCTCCCTCCCTCTGGGCCTCCCCCTCCTCCTCTTCTTCCACCTCTGCGTCGGCCTGTTCTACAGTAGTCTCAAAGTTGGAGCTGAAAGTGTCCAAGTGCGTGTGAGTCCCCCCCTCATCTCCTCCCTCGTCCTCCTCACCCACCTCATCATCGTCTTCATTCCCACCTATGCCATTTGCCATTTGTCTGTTGCAACGTGGAGTAAGAAAAGAAAAAGGACAGTGTGAAATTACGTTCAGCACGTGATTCAAACACACGGCAGTTTCTCTGCACGCAAAGCAGATCATTCATATTCAGAGCTGAAATCATTCTTCATTCAGGAGAAGTATGCACAATGGGAAAATATTGCAGCTTGAATGGCCACAGTGACAATTGAAGCAAGATGAAAGCACTGTCCAATTTGCCACTACGTGAATAAGCTGGAAGCTCATCTCCTCTGATCGGTCAAACCTCCGCTATACTTCATCCCTTCTATTTGTGAGAATATGAATCTATTGTAGTGTTTGCTGGCGATGGAGAGAAATAACTCATGAAAGTAGTCTAATCAAAGAGGGAAGCAGCTTAATATATGTTCATTGTGTTTCTGTAATTGGTGCGTTAAAGTGTGTCTGTGCATTTCATAAAACCATCATGTATTTTATTTGATCTGCAGTTGTCTCACAAAGCAAAGCCCTAATTAATTGACACGTATCCCTGAGTGCCCTTCACTGCCTATCTTTGTCGGTTTGAAATTGGTTCACGGGTTCCTCCGGCTCCTTGAGAATAAAACCACGTTGTTCCTGTTTGTTTCCCTTTCGGCTCATTTAGTCGAAGGCTGTTTTTGTCTGCTTGTTTTGTTAAAATGCAAATAAGCTTAATCATGTACCAGAGTACCACACTGGGAAAATAATGTACCCTTAAAAGCATTCGGAATGGCAAAGTGGCACTCTATTAAGATACGTGAAACATAAACACCCAGAACACAGCAGGCAGATTCAGCTTTCTATAAAAAGTAAGCCTAAAGGGAGTGTGTGTGTGTGTGTGTGTGTGTGTGTGTGTGTGTGTGTGTGTGTGTGTGTGTGTACATGAGTGACTGTCAAGATCTACTTTTGATTATTCTCTAATGTTATATCATACTTTGACACCCAAAGGTGAAAAGACAGCGATATCTTTACACAAGATGATGATTTAGTGCACTAACCGCCCAGCTTGTTCCGGGTGAGTTGCCTCCTCTTCGGTAGACGGTTGCATCTCTTCCTCTTCCTTCCCCTCCTCTTCCACCTTTTCCTCTTCCTCTTCCACCCCCTCCTCCTCATGCGTTGCCTCCTCCCCCGCTGAGCTCACCTCCACATTAATGCTCACTTCCCCTCTCGTCCCTTCCCTCCCTCCCTCCGCCCCTCCATCTGTATGTTGATCCCCATCCACCGTCTCCTCTTTCGACTCGCCCTCTCCTCCCTCATCCTTTACCTCTTCCCTCCCCTCTTCTCCTTCCCTGTGCGTCTCCCCCTGTGCCTCCTCCTCCTCCTCCTCTCCCTCTCTGACCTCCTCCTGTCGTCTCCCCTCCTCTATGTCGTCCTTCGCCCCCAGCTTGTCCTGCTCTGCCTGGCTGAGTGTCTCTGTGGGCGGGTCGGTGGTGCTGGTGGTACTGGGCTCCGCTGGGCTCTCTGGTGGGGTGGGAGAGGGCAGAGCCTGCCCCTCCTGGGTCATGGTGCTCTTCACTGAGGGGGGTTGGAGGGGGGGCTGCTGTACACTCAAGAGATGAGGAACAGAGCTTCAGATCAGCAACCAGGGAGGACACTCTGCAGAGAAAAGGAGACACAGAGCCAGAAGAGAGAGGACAATCAGCATGAAATGAAGACCGAGTACCAAGAGAAAAGGAGGAGGAGGAGAAGGCCGTGATATAAAATAAAATGATACTGATGCAGCCTTTTGATTATGTCTAGTCTTAATTACAAGTCACCAGAAGAGCCCCAAAAACAGCTCCGAGAGGAGGGCAGGAAAAGGTAAAGCAGCGAGCAGAGGCATACAGACAGACAGACAGACAGACAGGCAGGCAGGCACACAGACAGGCACACACAGAGAGAGGGATTTGTTTAATGCAGCTCAACTGATTCCTGTCAAAATGATCCCGCAAGCTCATCCGCTTTCTGTCTAGGTGGAGATTTCACAGCTGAATAACTATCTGTTTCCATCCCCGTTGTGCCCGCGCTTTGTGTAAATGCATGATAGCAACCTGAGATTTAAACATGTATTCCAGTTTACTGTTACTTTGACTCTCACTGTTGGACCAAGCAGCCGAGACCTCTGTACAGCAGGTCCTCCTCCTCCGGTACTGAGGCTCAAGGGCAAATGCTAATGAGCAGCTCTTAATTACGGCTCTGCAGAGAGCGAGTCATTAAAGCAGGCTGATATATTGTTGTTTTTTTATGAAAAATGGGATTTTTTTTTCTGTGAGTGCAAAAAGAAAAGATTACAATCCCTTTTTTTAATAGATATGATCTGATGAACTGTGTGAGGAATGGGATTAGTGCTGAAACAATGAACTGATTAATCGACTGAAAGAAAATGGATCGCACAACACTTTGGATGATCGATAAGTATTTGTCAAGGTCATGGATGGAGGGGGGGGGGGGGGGGGGGGGGGGGTGGGTATGTGTGTTGTTTTTTTTTTTTTTTTTTTTTTTTTTTTATAAAAAAAAAA